GAATCCCAGGGATTCTTAAGTTGATTCCACCGGAGACTGCGGGGGGTTGCCTTGGAGCTATGGTTGTAGATTTGTGCGAATAGGTCCTTGACGCACCGCTCTGCCACTCCGATGAATACTTGCTGAGCTTTCGTCCGTCATGTGACGGACATCGTCAGAGCAGGACGCCATGCTTAACGATAATTCATTAAAAACACGAAGGTAAGAGAGGCGGCCGGCTTCAAACCTACTTGCTTCTTATATTCAAAATTGGTATACTTATGCATCTCATGTTTTGGTTGGATGTCCTATGATTTGTCTCTACATTTGCTCATATGTTGATTTAAGTGGTTGCGGATGACATGTTAAGTGGCTACAGATGAAGCGTGAAATCGGTGCAATCGCTAAAACACTTATGCCTTTGATCCTGCAATGTTACCGCATGTGATTGTATCCCATTGCACGTGTTGAGTGAGTGCATTGCTCTTGAAATGAGTGTGATGTGAGAGTCAACCAAATTCCAGCTTAGTCAAGTTTTCCCCTTTCGACCGTTGGTACTTCTCGTTCTCCTCCCCCCTCTCTCTCCTAACCTATCTAACAGCCACAAGTAGTTTTAGCTTAACTACCTACACTCATTCCTTCTATTCAGGGTGTTGGCTGTTTTGTTGATTTCTATCACCTCCCTAACCTTTCGCCGACTACTATAGTCTCCATATCTAGCTAAGTGTTTGGCATTCGAACAATTTGTCTGGTGTCCTGTGTGAGCCATGTGTTTGGCCATTTCCGATTTTTGGACCCGCATACCCTTGCAGGCTGTTTTGTGTCCGATTAACCTCTTAGCTATAGGCCTACAAGTCTCTCCCACATAGGCACTACCATATAAACACAAAATCTTGCAACAGCCCGATCTGGAGAGATTCAGAATATTCTCGAAAAGAAGGCAATACTGAGGACGGAGTTATTTTCTCTTTATAAATAGCCCTCATGTTCCACCTCCTCAATAATTCGCCTATCTTCTTCGACAGACTACACGATGGCAGTATAATGATACTGGCAGAGTGATCTATCTTTTTATCTAGCCCCAAATATGTATTTCCCTTCATTATACTTGACAATATTATAAAATATTTGTCAACCCGCCCTCCTGGATAATTATTCTCAACCAAAATTCGCCTTAGTCTCCTCACCTCCTGGTCCCGATATTTTTATATATGCCAGACGCAGGCTCCTTATTATCATAGACTTCATACCTTCTACTTTAACCCCATGAATGTGGTTGGAAAATAAATCCAAAAGGAAACCTGCATTTGTGGGTTTCCTATACACATCTCTACCTAATCAGGTTCCCTCATTGCTAACTATGACATCAAGAAAAGGTAAACCACCTTCCTTTTCTTATTGGATGGTGAATTTTGTCTTCCCACCGATCCTGTTCATCAAAACAAGAAAATTCTTCATGTTTTCTTTGCCATGTTGCCAAATAGCAAAATAGTCGTCCATATAGCGAACTAATAATTTAGAACTAAAAGGGCCTTCTGATTTAAACGTTCCTCAAATTGAACCATGTAATCATTCGTTAAAATTGGTGACAAACGCGATCCCTCGTTTTTGTTGTATAGTTTACAATTAAAGGTAAAATATGTACCGTACATCGCTAGTTGGTCACTATCATAATTTATCCTTTATTTAACTTCGTGCTCATTAAAATCTCCGCATGTTTGTCTAGTGTGCATTGTAGGGCCTGTATGTCATCGTCTACAGGAATGTTAGTGTATATAGACTCAAGTTAACGAATTCATACGAATTATTGACTGAAACCTTACACGTCTCGGAGATTTGCTTTAACTGGTTGCAAATAACTCGTGATGTTTTATGCATCATGCTATCCTCATAATTCACAATAATTCTAAGTAGCACTCCATCTTTATGTATTTTGGGCAGACCATATGCATTTGGAGGCCTTGCATCTCGTTCAAGATGTGTGTTCACCTTCCACTTCTCCAGTTCCCCGTTTCTTACACAATGCTGTAGGCAACCCCTTGGTCTAGACATGAGGGTTTCCGTAGGGTCCATACTGATTATCCTGTGTGTGGCAGTGTCATCCAAAGTCCGCATCATTTTTTCTACGTAGCTCTACCTATCCAGCACTACCGCTGCTCCTCTTTTGTCTGCCCCCAACCCCATTTGGTCCTCATCGTCCAGTTTCCTTATGATGTTTTTCACTCTCTTGTTCCTGGGTGTTATTTCTACATGGCCATCCATTCAAGGAGCGGCATGTTATGCAATATCACTCTCTCTGGAAGATAATCGGTAAAACTTATGAGTTCCACCAGAGTCTTCTCCCTATTATCCTTACTGTTTGGCAAAGGAAAATTCAAACCTTTCGAAAGCACTTTATCCGTGGTTAAGTCCAAGGCTGTTTTGGAGAGATTTACCACTTTCTCTCAAACTATCCTTTGCTCACTACTGTCTCAGACGTATTTTTGATTAGCTTTTGTCCTGATTTCTATACCCAAATTCCTTAGTATCTTATCATGTCGGAATCTAATCTATTAAAAAATAATATCATACAACCTGTCCGCTGTTCTTTGTAATTTAGATAAATCTTCTGAGCTGGGTGCTTTCCAATGATTGGCGTAAACTTGTTTTCCTCCTTATCAAGGAGTGTAATTTTGTAATGTTTTCTTAGGTCATAATATAAACTAAATCCTGGGGTGCCTTTTAAAGGACTCGTATATATCTATTTGGCAAATTTGGTCTATCAATAATACAAACCTAGGAGCAACCATACGTGAAAAACATAATTTCAAAAAACGAATATAGTTGACTTGCCAGGCCAGAGCTTCAATTGCACCCATTTTACGCCTCATCTGTATCCACTTCACATGTCATTCGCAGCCACTTGACCTAAATTATGAGCAGATATAGAGACAAAGCATGGGACATCCAACCAAAACGTGAGATGCCTAAGTGGACCAAATTGGAATATACGAAGGAAGTAGGTTTGAAGCCGGCAACCTTTCTTGCCTTCGTGTTTTGGTGAATTATCGTTCAGCATGTTTTCATGTCCTGACGATGTCCGTCACATGACGGACGCAAGCTCAGCAAGTATTCATCGGAGTCGCAGGGCAGTATGCCGAGGACCTATTCGCACGAATCTACAACCACAGCTCCAATGCAACCCCCTCACAGCCTCCGGTGGAATAAACTTACGAATACCTTCGATTCGCCTCTTCAAACGGAATGAAGGGTACTCCAACATCAGACACCGTCAGAGCTTGAACATATCCTTTAACGAAATCTATGAAGCCAAGAATGTTTGCTAGTTACAATCCTACCTATCTCTGATTATTTTGAGTTCTTAATAAAGCATCCTTTGATAGGGTTGGATACTACTTCGCAAGGTCACGCCCTAATCGATTTAGGTTCGCAAATAGGTGTTCAGCAACATAGCACAGTCTTCTTTCATCGTCAAACACGCTTGAAGGAACATGATTTAGCCAATAAACTCACTTAATAAAGCCATTTCTACCAAATCACGTGCCGCTGTGCTCAACTCTATAAAAGGTAATAATAAAGAGCTTGCTACTCGAATAAAGGAGCATGTTCCGAAATGACTTGCAGGACACGTCTTAATTTAAAGGTAAAACAGGCCTTTTGAAACTCGTCTATGTTTGGAATTGACCACTCATTCTAGCAAGTTTTATGAATAACTGATGTGTCTTATCCCAAAGTCGGTGGTAATTAGTTACAAGCGTGGTCAACTGCTATCCATACTTAATGAGGAACCCTCTTGGAATACATTGCATAGTGCCACATCAATAACATGTCTCCTCTTCTATTCTTCGAGGGTTTACTAACTATTAAGGCCTAAAAACAACACTCGATCATCGATGCTATGATGGTGCTGGATACTTTCGACATCGCTACTATGCAGCCCTTTGTCCAGACACCCTATACCAGGTTTTTTTAGTTTCTGTACCACTTATTCTTATGAGAATGCCGTCGGGCCATAAAACTGGCTTTCCGAGGAGCGCGATGGATTCTATTTCCTACTCCATCGCTCATCTTAACTACTTTATTTTCAATCCATACTCCATATTATTTAACATCTGTCATGTCTCTACAAGCCTGTTCCTTCTATTGCCCTATCATTTAACTCTTACCCTTGCTCTTTATAATTTTTTAACTTTAAATATTATTTTACTTTACTTGTTAACCTATTTTTTCAATTTATCTATCTCCTTTATATCTCCTACCGCCAGGTTGCCGCCTCCTTAGTGGCTACCTTCCAACGCCAGGCTGCGCTTTGGTTGGCTACGGACGGTACCATCCTTTTGCCTGATGGCCCGATAGAACCGCCATGTGGACTGCCCGAACTTGAGCTGGCCGACGATGATCCAGCCTGGTTGCTGCCTGTTTTGATAAAAAATCTGCCAAAGACTCTCAAGATTCAAATTATAAGAGCTGCTTCTGAGGTGCCTTGAATAGAGACTAAAGATTATCTTTTTTAATCGGGTTTCCAATGCATTATCTTGGCATGTTAATTCATGGTAAAATGAGGATTATTATGACTTTTCGGCAGGCTTGACTTCGGCTACTTAAATTTAGACTACTTTTTTTTCTGAAGTACGTTGGTCTCATGTGGGTAGAACGATTTGATTTTCTTAAAGCTAACACAATTTCCTGACCGATTAATTTGCTCGCTTTATTTTATCCTCAATTCCATAAATTCGATTTTGATATATTCCTCTGGCCAATCTAATGCATTCTTCATTATTTACAGCCCAACTTTTTTTTGCTGATTATTTTATTGCTTATTCTTATCTGGATCGCTAAACGCTTAACAGTAACTATCCCAGCGCAGTCACGACTTTCGTATCGAATTTATCAGTAGGGCAATTTTTTGGGAAAAAAATATTGTTCGGATTGGTCATTTCACTACTTGTTTCATGCGAAAGTCTTCATTTAAATTGACAGTTATTTTTCTCAAAAAGGTTGTGTTCCATTCAAGAACATCTAAGCTTTGACTATTTTGCACAGGAGAATTGACTTTGGGTTGTATCACTACATTCTAGAGTATGGATTCTAAATAGGCTATTCCAGGTATCTGTCTCTTATCATCTAGTTGTTCTTGCCTCGTCTCTATTCTTATTTTTCCATCTTATCACATGGGCATAAGCTTGAGTTTAAACTGCATTAAACGTGAACAATAGGATTCTCTCTGGCCACTTCAAAAAGACTGCTATTATTCTGAACCAGTGACTGCATTTAAATTTGTATTGTTTCACTTGAGTCAAGGCATCGCAAATTTAATTCGCTCTGCAAATTTATCACATTTCTAATCCTTGAACTCTCATGTCTATGATTTTCAGGGCTATTTTTTGTGCAAATAGGTGGGGAAATTAAGCGATTGAAATAATTTGGATCAAAGGCTTCAAGTTTCCAATTATTTCCACTTAGCATTGCTTCCAAAAATGTATTCTCATCCAACGTGGACTGCAGTTTCGACCTCGCCTTGATCTTATCGGCACCCCCAATGGGAATTGAACCTAGGTAGTGCAGCATATATTTTTGACATCAAACCACTACGCCATATAGCCACGAGTCCCAGTAGGCCCTTTAACTTTAAGGCAGGCCAGGCTTCTTCGATGTCACATTTTGTAGTGGGATTTTAAATGAAACAAATTTATATTTGATATTATATTACATGTCGTAGATTTCCATATTTTGCGAGATCAAAAATGTAGTACATGACGGATGGGAATGCCTTTTGAGAAGCAAAGCTAAGAGAAATTCACTGGAAGCGTGGGTTACACTCATACCATTGTAGGAAAAATTTACTTGAGATGTTTTCAATCTATTTCGTTTAATACAATGATGGACTGGAAGTTGAATTTTCCCAGATGATACTAGTAGGCCTCATGTTTCTATTTAATTCTATATAGCATTGCATCTCAAAAGGTATTCTCATCCAGAGTAGACTGGACTGCAGTTTCGACTTTGTTTATTGATTACATCTTAAACTCAAAGGGGACTAGTTACGGATGGTGCATCGTATAGTCCCTACACCTTAATTATCGCCAAAGACTTGGCCTCTTCAATGTCTTTTTCTTTGTTAGGATTGCCGATTGAACAAAGTAGTATTTTTTATGTTAATCTACTACATTGATTATTTTACTTTATAAGTAGTTTTTCGAGGCTTCTGGTAGATTGTTAGATGCATTCACCCAATTTAGGGAGAAATTTCGTCATTTAACATGTAATTTACTTTTTCAATCGGGACACATCCTGAGGGCCAGTGTAGGTTGTTGTCCGTAAATGCTAAAAGCCCTGGTTCTTTTTCTATATTTGAAAAACAAGTCTACGAAAGATTTTCTTATTTTATTAAAACATTATTAAACAATTGCTTATAGCGAATGGGCCATTTGCTTGTTCGCTTTATAAATATCACTTTTCTATTTTACGTATACATTGAAAGCAATCATTTAGACTTCACAACATCTTATTAAAAACTCTGGAATTAGTCTTAATTGTATTTGGTTTCTCTTGTGCTTATTGGCTACTTCATTGACAATGCGAATGATAGTAGTTTACATCTATGCTTATTTGTTGCTGCTATCTATGAATTATCTTAAAGGTTTTCTTCATGAGGTTTGTACAATTCCTTATATAAAATCCTGCTCGATATTTTTAAGAACTTGAGTCACTCTAGGTTGTTTACGCTGGTGCATGAACCGATCGTCTGATATTCCACATTGAAATTGGTAGTTCT